GGGTATGGAGACCTTATGTGTTTTGGCGCCCATACCGGACGGGGTATGGGGACGGCCTGTTTCATTCTCATACCGAACGGGGTATGGAGGTTTATGATTTTGGCGCCCATACCGGACAAGGTATGGGGACGACCCTGGAATCAGGTTATTAATGTTAATGGTTCACGTGTAGCGGGGACCCCCTATGGATCCCCATGGATACTAGTAGGCTGGTAAAAGAGGAAAATATGTTGTTTAATGATTGAAATGCAAAGGCATAATAAGTGTTATGTTATAAAGTCTATATGATTTCATGATGATGATAATGTTATTGCTTTCATATGTTGTTTTCATGAATCTCACAGAGGTAAGTGGACAATAAAAGTTTTTATGTTAATAAACGAGTTTGTTATAAATTATGCTCCATTGGTCATTTTTGTTTTCTACCCACATTTACTTCCGTGGCTGTGAGATAGTGTGATGTCTTTATTGGGTTGGTGTAGCTCATTCCTTATTTAACCATTTCAGATCAGGAAGACGTTGTTTCCGAGCCCGTTCCGCAGGAAAACGGCGAATGGGACACCTAAAGACTTCATAGTTATATTTATAGTTCTTATTTTGAGTATCTCTTTTAGTTAGTTTGTTCCTTCATGTTTTGAGTACGTTTTGGTTATTGTGTAAGGGATGTTAATCAAAATTTTATTACACTTCCGCATTTAAGATTATTAATACATGCACCTTCTTTAAAATTCCGGAGCCGTTACATATTATATTTGTCTAAAAAAGATAAACATAATTATACTTTTTACTCTATTTTGTTATTAAACATATTTTTTTATATTAATATTTTTAGTCACATACTATATCTTTTTATGAAAAGATAAGTATATATATTGATAATATAACTATATTATATTGATAAATTGGGCCTAATACACCTAATGGGAGAGCTCATGTGAGAAGGCTATGAGCTAACTAAGCTTGGGCTTTATACAACAAGAGTGGTAATCAAAATGGACCTTGTTTAGACTTAAGTTAAGCAACTACTATGGAGGCCCATGACTAAACAAGGAGTCCACCATTATGTGTAAGCCTTCGTACATAAGATGCTCCGTGTATATATTCACATGAGAAAATCCTAGACTTTGTTAACAAGCAAACTCATATATGAGACCCAGTGCAAAGTGGTGCTGAAGCAGATGATGACTCTTTTATTTGGCACACAAAGAGGAAACATATCACCTTCGATTTGAGAAGCATAAATAAGGATTGCCTTCTGATGTTCCACTTTGGTTCGCTTGCTCATTTGATATGTTTTTTATGAACTTCTCTAAATATATTTTTGATGCATAAATATAGCTCCAATTTGATGCATATAATATTAATGATTGAGTTTTTGCCAAGAATGCATGTTCTTGTCGCTTAAATAGTAAAGATAGTCTACCATGATAAATGCATAGTGAAAAATATCTATGTAAATGCATGCATTAGAACTTGATTTTTGGTGTTATTATAAAAGCAACGACAGCTTGTCAACAATAATGCATGAGGACAATCGCTCCAACTTGATGTCCCATGGAAAGACATACCATAATAGTCTTGCTAAGTGATGTAAGATATAACTAATATCATATTTGACTTTAAGTAAAAATAGTTAGGTGACTCTAGTGTAATCATCAATATATGACATAAATGATGGAGTCTTAGAAATATTAGCTAGGTGAGGTAGTCCTCAAATATTACTATAAATTAATGAAAACAAAGCTAAATATTGTTTATTATTAATGAAAAATATCATACACTTATATTTTACAAACTCATAGATAACGCAGTGTAAACTTTTATATTTTGAATTCTTAAATAATGATGAAAATATCACATTTAAGATGAAGAATGATGGGTACCCAAATCTTATCTCTGAGGTTGGTATTAATAGTAGAAAAAGATCTCTCAGGTGCATCCAAGTAGTAGAGCCAATTTATGGCTTCAGTGTGTCCAATTGAATCTGGGTTCTAAAAGTCACAATAAAAAGAGTTAAACATGACTCTGCAGTTCAAGTCTTGTGATAATTTACTTACTGAAATAAAATTAGTACACAATTTAGGGACATATACTATATTTCTCAGGACAATAACAGGGTTAAGCTTAATATCAACATTGTTGGCCATATTACTGAGGGAACCATCTGCAATGATAATCTTTTTATTACTCGAATATAGATCATATTTACAACAATATTTAGAAGTATTAGTTATATGATTTGTAACTCTAGAGTTTATAATTCAAGAATTTTTAAAGCTATTTATCTGAGGCATTTATTTGTTCTGAAATAGAAGCCATATCAAAGTGTCATGATAAATCGATACTTGTTTGTTTCTCTAGAGACTCAAGTCGAACCCTTAATGTTTCAATCTCCATTCTAAATTTATTAAGATTTAAAGTTGTCATGTTAGAGTTTGCTCTCATAATTAGACATACTTTCTGACATCATTTAAGAATTGAATAGTAATTTATTATAAAAAAAAAAAATTACTATAAGTACTTTACCAATACCATATGGCTGCATGAAGTAATTTGTGTTGGGTCATTATAAAGCGACATAGAGAGCTGTGTACGATAATGTGTACTTGTGGACGACTATTGGAGACTAGCAACTACAGGGAGCAACAACTAGTTTTATGTTTTACCATGAAGATCAGCTGATGGTGTCTAGTGATAGGTGGGTGGTGGTCGACTATGAAAGTTTACCCTTTTTAAGCTTTTTTTTTTTTTTTTTTTTAATTTTAGAATTGAAGATTGGACAAGATTTGTAAAAGAGTTTACGGATTTTCTTAACCTAAAATTCTGATACTATGTTAAAAATAGTTTTGATTGATTTATTTTGTTGAATATTAAAGCTCTATATATACAAGTTTTTTAGGAGAGAAAAAAAAGCAAACATTAATTAGAGAGGAGTAATTGTAACATGATTTTTTTCCTTTTTAATACCCTAAATTATTTTCTCTTCAATATTTTGGTTTACTTTCTCTTTGATGTCTTGATTTATTTTCTCTTTAATGTCATAGTTTATTTCTTCTTTAATACCTTGATTTACTTTCATCTTTAATAAATAATTAAATTTATTATGTTATTTGTCCAAATGTGAGGGTGACCCTTATAACCTAAATAAATGGCTAGCTTGGTGACAAATCTTGAAAATGTGTACTAGAAGAGTTAAGAGTGGATTTACGATGATTCTTACCAATTGGTGTTAAAATGAAGTTAAAGTGGAGAATATAGTTTTGTTTTAGATATGGTGACTCATATAGTCCTCTACAAAGTTACATGTTATTGGTGTTAGACAATTATAATTAGGAAAAGGATAATATTGTACCTGTTTGTTCTGTAAAAGAGACTTCCACCACATAAAAATATGTATATATTTTATTAGTATATGAATAAACATAAGTTAGAAAATGAAAGTTGTGAAACAAAACAAAAGTTTAGTTTGACTAATTATACTATAAATTTAGATTATATAAATAAAGTCTTGATAGGGTAAGGTATGATATTTAATTTTTTAGCATAATTATGAAATTGTTAAATTTTTTAATAAATCAACAACAAAAAAATATAGAAGAAATCATTTTTATAACTATCGTATCAAGAAAGGAAGAAACGTGGCAAAAGGGGCACGTGTTGTAATTAGGAGTGGTTGAAGAACGACAAGGGGAAAATGGGGCCCGCGTTATATGTCGTGTAATGAGAAGACAGGCAGGGCCAGACACGGTCACGGACCCAGACCCAGACCCAGTCCTTCCTTCTCTACTCTTCGACGCGCTCTTTCCCACACGCGTCAACCACCGGTTTCCAGAATTTTCCAATTGTTTGCATTTCTGCCCCTCCTTTTTCTCCTATTTCCATTAACACGCACAAATAAAAATATTTTCCTTCAACCTTTGAAATAGTAATTGTTTGAGAGTAAATTGTACCAGGGTTTTTCATTTTTAATTTAATTTGCCATCTTAAATAATTAAATTCACAATACATTAACACAATACTTCAATTTGAATGGGTAACTTTACAATAAGTGATTAGATACTTTTAACATATACTTACAGATATTATGAGTTACCTTTATAACATAATTTTTTATTTTTATAAAATACACAAAAACCTTTTTTTTTTTATATATAAAAAAAAGAAATACAATTAAAACTATAAGAAATTAGAAAAAAAATAATTGCTATAAGAAAAGTTTTATTTTATAATTAATATTTTCATGTCTCTATGTAATAGTATAAATTGAAATTTCATATTTCTATATATTGCTTAAAGTTTAATAAAGAAATTAATCAAATTTTAAGAAAAAAGAGACTGGATGTTATAATTTTTAAAGATGATATTTAAATTACACGGTATTAATTGGTAAATAATCATCATCATATATATTAAAATATTCATAACTTACATTGTAAGAAAAATTTACATATTTATTATACGAATAAATGTCCATATAAACCATACAATTTATATGTAAGTTTTTTTGAAATTTACTACAGAAACGAAATTACGAACGTAATTTTTCTTTGACCCGAAAACGACTTTCTTGTCCTGTTTCTTTTTCCCTCTAGTTTTTTAATGCCCTCTTTATATTCCAATTGTTCGTTAGCATAATTCTGGTTTTACTTTTAATTTGATAGGAAAAGTCATCTACATTATTCTTCTTCTGTTTTTTACACAGTCGTATATAACCAGAATATCAGATAACTTGGGTTTGCAGAAGAGATAGAGAGGACAACCAGACGGAGAGAAAAGGAGAACACAGAATCTTCTGGTTCGTCTTCGTTTTCTCCTGATCTAAAGTGCCGTTTTCTTCTTCATTTTCTTATCTATACTTTTCTCTCATTCTTAAGACAAACCCCTTTCTGTCCTCCGTCTCTTCACCACTTTCATCTTTAAGGAAATTGATTTTCATCGCTACTATTGTTATTCCTGCTCTGTGATATAAAAAAAAAAAAAAAAAATGGCGAAAGAAAAGAAGATGCTTGTTGGGTTTGTGTGGAATTATGCAGCAGAGCTTAAGATAATGTTAACGGCTCTTTTGGTTCTCTGCACAGTAGCTACTGTTCTCCAGTTCATTTCATCAACCTTCTCCATATCTACCTCTGATCTTCGTCTCTGCATCTCAAGAATCGCCACCGCCTCTACCAACATTTCGGAAGAAGCGCCACCGCTTGTTCCACCGTCTATGCTATCTCCGCCGTCTCTTCAGCCAGATCAAGTCCTGAGCAACGGCGTTATCAAGCGTAGCTTTATACCTTATGGTGCTGCTGCCTACAACTTTATCTCCATGAGCGCCTACAGAGGAGGTCTCAACACCTTCACCATTATTGGCCTATCCTCCAAGCCCCTCCACGTCTACGGCCGTCCCAGTTACCCGTGCCAGTGGGTCCCGGAAGACCCCTCTCAGAACACCGTCACCACCGCCGGAAACAAGATGCTTCCCGATTGGGGCTACGGCCGCGTCTATACTGCCGTCGTTATCCGCTGCGCATTCCCTGCTCCTATCAATGCCAACAACTCCGGCGGTAAATTGCTGCTACACGCCTCCACATCCGGCGGCGGCGACACCAAATACAACTCAACGGACATCATCGAGACCCTAAGAGAACCGCCCGGCAGCGTAGATTTCAACGTGTTCAACTCGCCGCCCAAGTACGATTACTGGTATTGTGGGGCGTCGCTGTACGGGAACCTGAGTCCACAGCGACTGAGAGAATGGATAGCGTATCATGTGAGGCTGTTTGGGGAGAGATCTCATTTTGTGCTGCACGACGCGGGCGGAGTCCACGAGGAGGTGATGGAGGTGTTGAAGCCATGGATGGAGCTCGGGTACGTGACGCTCCAGGACATAAGGGAACAGGAGAGGTTCGACGGATACTACCACAACCAGTTTATGGTGATGAATGATTGCCTGCACAGATACAAGTTCATGGCCAAGTGGATGTTCTTCTTCGATGTGGATGAGTTCATTTATGTGCAACCGAAGAGTACCGTCAAGTCCGTGTTGGATTCCATGCAGGGTTACTCTCAATTCACCATTGAACAGAGACCCATGAGCAGTCAACTCTGCTACGACGACGAAGGGCCTGGAAGAACTTACAGGTATTTCTGCCCTTTCTTGTTTTTATTTCTAGTTTTCTTTCTTGGCTTCTAGATATCCTGTTACTCCACCAAAATTTTTCAATCAATTGTTGGAAATTTTTGCTGTAATTGGTTTTCTTTTCCATTCACTGCTTTAGGTTTAACTGATAGTTACCTGACATTTTGCTTTGAGATTAAATGAATTTCTGAACTTTCAACACATAACAATTTAGATAAAAGCAGTACTGGAGAGATCTTTTCCTTCCCGTGGCAATTGCTAAGATTTGACAATTCTAATTGTGGGTTTCAGCTAAGTTTTGCAATGCATCAGACCATTTGTTTACTCGTTAAATCTCTGGCAAATTGGATGTTGACATGCTGTAATCTTTTGGTGGGTGGATGATTGTCTCATTCATTGAAAATGCTCTTGAGGGGAATTTGTAGGCCAGGAGGTGGTGGGTTTTGAACTTTGTTCTAAACCCATTTTCTTTCTTATTAATAGAGCTTGCCCTTTCAATTTTTCTTAAAATGATTTTCACCTCTATTAAGAATTGGTTCAATATCAGTATATCAGTGTGTATTAAAATAGGTTACTCTGCTAGAATCTAGGGTGGAGGGTAGTAAGTTTTTAAGATTTGAGATATATTCCATCCCAGAATCCAAAATTCTTGGTACCCCCTTACGTTATGGTTAATGTTGTAGGGTGTAACGTTGACTTGAATTGGTTTTCTGTACTTCCCCATTTCATTTCTATCCATATAATCAACTAAACCCGAGTTGAATGCAGGAAATGGGGGTTTGAGAAACTTGTGTACAGAGACGTGAAGAAGGTTCCCCGAAGAGACCGGAAATACGCGGTGCAGCCGAGGAGAATAATGGCGGCCGGGGTTCACTTGTCGCAACACTTGCATGGCAAGACATACCACAGTATGGATGGGAAAATGAAATACTTCCATTATCATGGATCCATATCACAGAGAAGAGAACCTTGCCGCCATCTCTTCAACACAACACAGCTTTCTTTTGAAAACAATCCTTACATTTTGGACACTACACTAAGGGAAGCTGCTGGCCCTGTCAAGAAATTTGAACTAAAAATGATTGGAAGTAGATTACACACAACTCGCCAATAATTACTTAAATTATTATTTCTCTTTTTATTTTACATCAAATTCATATTCTTTTTTTTTTTTTTAAAGTTTTTGTATCATAATTTTGTAAGCTATAGATACAGGAAGAACAGTTTGTATGGTATATGTATGTATCATTCATTCTATATATATATATATATATATATATATATATATATGAGGAAGGTTGGGTTAATTTAATTTCATTTTTAACCGATTAAAGGAGTGGAACATTATATTATTATTATTATTATTAGGGTTGTTATGTTGTCGGTGTTAAAGGTGGTGGGGTCGCCACCACGACAACCACCACTAGGATCTGCCCAATGTGGTTCGCTTGCTTTGCTGGGTTTTGGGTGTGGAAATTATTAATATTTATATTATAATAATTAACGAATACGGTGTTAATTATTTATTCTTTGGATTTTATGCTTGTTAAGGTTTGTGTGGTGGACATGTTTGGAGGAAAGTCACAGCACTTGTCAAGGGGAAGAAAAGTAAAAGAATGAAGGCATTAGAATTAGAACACATGGGGGGGTGGGGTCCTTGACAAATTTTTCAATCTCATCAACTAACCATTTGATTAGAAATATGGAAAATGGATGTATCTCAATTAGTCCAGTCCAATTAAGTAACGTAATTCTTACTTTATAAATATTTATACAAACATTATGGAATATGTTCATAAATTCTCTCCTTTTTTATATGATTATAAAAATATATATATATATATATCGAATTTTGGTTCAACTGGTGAAGGGAGTTATGACGTATGAAGAATCTTTGGAGCCACGCATTTATTCTTTTAAATAATAAAAAAAAAAAAAAACTTATATTTTTAACTTGGTTGGAATAGTCATTACGTAATTTTTGTATCTCACAGTTAAAATAATTAATAATCTCACAATTCCATACTCAAAAAGAGAATTACTAATGTATAAAAATGTGAAAGGAAAATGAAACAATAAATAATTCTAAAACTTATTGAAATCCTAAATTTTTTAAAAAATTATTAATTTTACCAATTCACATCTAATAATCAAAATGTTTATAGAGGATTTATAAACCATACGGTGTAGATACCGTGATTTGGTCGTTAAAAACACGATCGATAATCTGTCGATGCATGAATCGCGTTTGTTTTCTCTGCAGCTCTCAATTTCAAAAATTCATGATTTTCTCAACTCTAATTCAAACCATGTAAATTTGGTATTTAGGAAAGTTGGCTGAAAGACTGGAAAAAAGGGGGTCAATAAGCTACCACCAGGCAGGAACTAATGAATTCTAAATAATTCTCTTGTCTCTCCTCTTCTACTTCAATTACATGCTAACAATTTCAAACTTATAAATATGGTGGATCTTCTTCACCTTGTAATAAAACTCTTAACAACTTGTTCAAAAATAGTCCTAAACTTTATAAGATGACCATATGGAAACTCTTAGTTCTATAATTAACTGGTAAAATATTATTTTCTCAAGGTGGGTAGTGCAATTAGTCATGGCTACTTGGATGGACATTGAATTACTAAACAAAAAAAAAAAAAAAAAAAAAAATCAATAAATATATTTCAAGTAGTCTTTTTTTTTTTTCTCCTTTTCAAATTACTTAGTTGATATGTGTTGGTTCCATGAGGTTGATTTGAAGGTGTTGGGGAAGTTAATTCTTTGAAACAAAACAAATATTAGTGAATTGATTGTGTAATTTGGATATCAAATTGGAGTATTAATTATTATGTCAGAAGCAAAAAAAAAAAAAAAAAAATGTTTTATAATCCCGTCCCAAATATTACAAAAAAGGGTCATGTTTATTCTTAAGAAATAGTTTTATCCATTGATGTATTGGATTCATAGAAAATGAATCATTAAAAAAATTCCCAATATTTTAAACAAAAATTGTTTTTAAAAAATAATTTCATTAATTGATTTGTCGGATAATTAGAAAACAGTGTTTGGAGATGGATCATCAACGCTGTTTTGTTTTGATGTAGAAGACAAAGAAACAAACAAAATAAATTGTTAATGTAATGAATTCTCTGTGGTAACGTATTCACTGGATGAATTGTAATTATGCGGTAGCTTCCTGTTATGGAGAACAAAAAAGTGATTCATTGGAACAAGAGCTTCTTTTCTGGTTTGTATACTCTCTCTCTCTCTCTCTTAATATGGTTGCTTGATACATGATTCAACCGGTGCTATTGATTCTAAGCACGAGCTTTTATTATCGTTTTCAGCTTTATATATCTATATATATATGTCGGTCGAATTTGCTTGAAATTATGATGCACTCTGAGCTTCTAAGAAAGCATTGAAATCCTCCCTAGCCTTGCGCAGCCTAGGCGTAATGCAAGAAGAACCAGGAGACGCTGGCAACGATGTCGAAGATGTTGAAAACCTTACATGCCGAGGAGACTCATTGCATTTTCTCCCTGTGTTGCTTCTCGACCCATTTTTCAGCACCCCTTTAACGTCTTTGTCAAACACAAAAGCAGCAGAAATTGGCGAATGAGCATCGTTGGCGCTACTCCTAATCAACTCCATTGGGAGATCGAAGTACATGCTCATGGACTCCACCTCTTCATCCGGTACTATGGCTGATGAGGCCCATGAACCACACTCAAATTTCTCCAACGAAACCCTCCTCGATATCACATTAACCAGGCTATCCTCCTTTCTTGCTCTCACAGGCTTACCCTTGCCGAACCCTGGGAGGTACAGGCATAGTGCGCTGCATTTGAATCCATCCTCCTGCGCATCTATCCTTTTGCTACCATCATCTTTCCTAGCCTCATCAGTTTTGGCCTGATGCTTCTCAAATACTGTACCAGTTGGCTTATGCATCCAAAGATCAAGTTCATCGGTTGGTACACTTGCTCTTCCTTCACCACTCGACTTGCTCCTCCGGAACCTCTCATCTGGTGCAAGATTCAGATGCTCCAGCTTCTCGACTTGACGGGGAGACATCTGACTTTCATTCTTCCACTTCTTCTTAGACAAAACTGAGCTGAACCGAGGGGATGAACTTGTAGAGTTTGGAAGGCTATAGCTTAGAAACTTGGCATTTGATGCAGGGCGCATCCTAGTATCTACTGCAGGAGAGAGCATCAGACTAAAGCTAGCCTCTCCAGCTGCTGATCCCTGCAATGAGATTGGATCAACCAAAATCTGCTTTTCCTTTTCTAGACTCTCCTTCTTTACTAGGATATTAGCTTCTTCCCTGCACACTTGACGAGGTTCTGGAATGCAACTGTCAGCCATGGAGTTCTGAAAGGCACACAACAGTTAACGGATGACACACAGGATTATTACTACTTAAAAGGGTATGAAGTTGGTAGCATGTCTAATGACATCTCAGTCGTGATATCCATGTTCCCATCAATCTCTCAATCCATTCATATACGTGATACGTGGAGAAAAGAACAAAAAAACACCAACCTGTCTTTCTAAAAAAGTCAACTAAGAAGCGGCTACCCACAACTCTGTCCTTTCCTTTCTCTTTTAAAACTCAAGGATTCCGATGAGAGCTAACCCTTGTCTTTGTACAATGCAAAAGGGTAGCACGAACTAAATTATATTAACAGCTTAATGAGTTTGTGCCTGTAAATAGACTGTTGAAGAAAGAAAAACTACTTTATTTGAGAAAAGAAAATTATAAAGAAAAATTTATTCTTACTTGCTTTCAAAGTACAATAGGGAATTTACAGGTACAAAGATAACCAAGAGACACATTTAAATTATTCTCAATTAATGGGCATATCCAAAAAGACATTTCTAAAGAATTTCTAGACTCCATAAACCTAGTTAATTGCTTAGGAATTCTAATAGACATAAGAATTATAAGAGTCACATAATAATTTTAATAAACTACATTCATCCTAAGAGTCATAATTATTTCAAATTATTATTTATAACATCCTACTCTAATTTGAAATCTTCTTCACACTAAGGCTTTTTCTTAATCTTCAAAATTCTTCACATTTCAATTGCTTCGGAAAAATACAAGTAATTTGATATTGAGTCTTCATATACTTGAACTCTACTTCTTTGTTGGCAATGTATTATTTAATTAAATGAAACTTTGTGTCTATGTATTTGTTTCGGACATGGAATACCAGATTCTTTACAAGCGCCCATGCAAACTATTGTTAATCCAAATTTTTGTATCTTTTTTTATGACAAGTGAAGTTCCTTCAACAATCTTCTTAATTAAATTTGAATGACAAGTACAAGAGATTGCTGCTATATACTTAGATTTACATATTGAAAGTGTAACAATAGGCTGCTTTCTTGACCTCTATGAGATAGCATAGTTACCCATAAAAGAACCAAAATCAGTAGAGCTCTTTTATCATTCATATCTCCTGCAAAATTACAATCACCAAATAGTCTAAAATTAACTATACTTTTTAGATAGCAAAGAATCCTCTTAGCAGCCTTCATATGGGGGGGAAGTATAAGTTTTTGTGAAACGATTCAATACTTCAACTACATAAAAAATATAATGTCTTGTACAAGTTAAATATCTCAAGCTTCTCACGCAACTTTTGAAAAAGAGTGAGATTTTTTTTTCTCCATTCTCAAACTTTGATAATTTTATTCCACTATCCATACATGTATTCACGAGGTTACAATCAACCATTTTGAACTTCTTCAAAACTTTCTTTTGTATAGCCCTTTTGAGAAATAAACATCACATCCTCTAAAGGGGGTTACCAGATTTGAAAAGAGAGGAAAGTTAAATCCTCACTTCATCAGCCCTTTTGAAATTTTAAAAAGAATTGGAAAGTCTGCTTGCATATTAACATTACCACCAGAATTTTCTCGAGTTTATAATGTCTTTTATGTATCAATGTTACACAAATATAATCCTGATCTTTCATATGTTTTATCTTACAAGCCTCTCTCACTTTAAGAAAACTTTTCTTATGAGGAGGTGTCAATTCGTATTCTGGAGCATCAAGAGAGAATGTTTCGCAAAAGAACTATTCCTTTTGTGAAGGTATTATGCCAGAATCACTCACATGACGAACTTATTAGGGAGTTAAAATCAGATTTTAAAACTACGTATCACTAGTTGTTTGGTTCAATACAGAAATTTAAAGGACTAAATTTTTATAAGGGGGGAAGAATTGTAATGACCCAAAAAAAAATTATATATATGGATGTTTTACAACTGATGAAGTGAATGACTAAAATCTATTAAATAAATTTGAAATATTAGAAAATTTTAATAAATTAAAAAAAAATGGACCACAGGAATCTAATTGGAAAGTTGCTGAGAAATTTAAAATTTTATAATCAATAATCTATTTCTCAAATTTCGACAGTTCAGATTTAATTAAAGAGATTATAAATATAATTAGAATTTTTCAAAATTTTAACAACAAAAATCTTAAGAGACTTGAGAGCTGTCGGCCAAGGAAGAAAGGAGAGGGGGAGTAGCCGCGCGAGCTCACTTTGGGCGGCATATCATCGTCGATCCAAAGGTAAATTCTTTACCTTAGATGACCTCTATTCATTTTAATTTTAAACTTAGTTCGGTGTCCTATGCTGAATGCCAAGGTAACGTAAAGTTTGTCGACTCATTTTGTGTAGATAACTGATAAAAGTCATTTGTCCAAAAATCCAAGAAAAAGTAAGAATAGTTTATTACTCTAAATTCCCAAATTTGAAATAATGTAGTGGTTTGTTTTTTTTCGATTGCACGAATATTATGGTATTGTGTAGAGATTAATTGTTTTAATAATATTTGAAAGAGAAGATATTGAAAAATTTGGAAAGCATTATGTATATGATGCAGTGTGATAAGTTTGAAATCTGGTGAAACAAGGAGCGATTGACGTTTCCTGGATGTCTGAAAGCGTGGAGAGGAAGAAGATGAGTTTTCTTTTGTTGGGTACACAACCCGTTAGGCCGGGATCAGAAGGCTCCAGCAAATTGGGTTAGACTAAGTCCATTAAGCAGCCTCTGGGTTTATTTTATTTTTTATAAAAGGGGGTGGTTGTATTACTAAAGATTTAGATACTGATTAAGCATACCTTAAAGGAAGAATAGAGGTGTTACACTGATTTAAAAATAAATTAAATTAGAAAATAATATTAAAAATATTACCAAATGGGCTTCTAGTTTAGTGGGGGAGGAATATTTTATTGGATTTCTATCATAGGAAAAAAAACATATAAAGCAGGTTGAAGTTAGTAGAGTTATTTGTGTCCAAAGAAACATCCAAACAGATCACCTACTCATCTTGTGAATGAACAATAATGGGTTGTGTAAATAAAGATTAAGATAAATATAAAAGTCTTAGAGAATTAGTTAAGTTAATTTAAGAAAACTTTTATTAAATTCCTAAAATGGTAAGTATTATTTATAGCAATCAAAACTATAGCATTAAATAATAATAATAAAATAAGAAAAGTTCATTAAGAATTAATGATTGCGAAGCATAACAAAGTAGTTACGTCGTTATAGAATGGGTATAAATAATTTAAGATTAACAGCGTATATTATCATGAGAAACGTCGAAGTATTGGACGAGTATAAACTAGAGAGTGATAAGTATTTCATGACGTAAATAGTGAGTATATATGTAATCACCTTTTA